ACACATTGAATATTTAAACAAAAACGCCCTGCTAATCTTTAGGGATGCCAGTGTTTTTAACACATGAAAGGTACCTAGTAAATATTTAAAGAAAATGCAGCCCGTTGGTTCTCTAATGAATTTCTTTTTCTTCTCAATACCATCTGGCAAGATGGCCAGAGTCCTGGCGGCCCGTTTCATCTCGGGGTCCCGTTCAGCTTTCACCTCCCTTTCCGTAAGGCCCGGGTGTGAGCCTAGATTGAATGTTTAATTGAAGAGGGCATAATTTTCACACATACAGCAAAGATTGGATGAGGCTTTGAGGTTTATTGTGGCCATTAAAATGTCGTGGCTGCTGGCAAAGCCCCAGAAAATGTCTAAAGCTAAACCAGATGTGATTAGCAAATTTCAAGAAGTCTCAGGCCCCCTGTTCTCCCAGCAGCCAAGGCCCGTTGGAAGGGTTTGTTTTGAGTAGCACGAACCACACCTTAACGATAGCATGTGAATTAAACTATGACTGCTGGCCGAGCAGATGTCACGGATAGAAGCAGAGGTCGTCAATAAGCATCTTTCCTAGAGACAAGAACTTCGAGCGGCACGTTTATGTAGGCAAACACAGGCAAGGAATTGATGATAATAGGATCAGCTTCAATTTATTGCACTTATCTGATAACAATATATTATTATTATCTGTCAGGTGCTTTTCATATATCATTTCTTTTAATCCTTACAATGACTCTATGAAGCAGGTATCGTTTACCGATTTCTCAGAAGAAGAAGAAGCGAAGTTTACGGTGCTCACGTAACATGCTGAGTTACTTCCCAGGTGACGACCTAGCCACATTTAAAACTAGATATGACTCTAAGCCATGTAGTCATGACATATCCTACCAGTTGCCCAGAAGTCTCCATACCTTATCAGAGATCAAAACAGAAAGGCATGTAATCAAGGCGTTAAGCCTCATAAAGATACAAACGAAAGAAAGAGCACCGCCGAATGGGTGCGTGAGTGCAACTGTGTGCACACACACACACGGACACACACACACACACACACACNGAAAGAAAGAGCACCGCCGAATGGGTGCGTGAGTGCAACTGTGTGCACACACACACACGGGGACACACACACACACACACACTCCTACTCCTGGAGCCATATATAGAGACCCTTTGGTTGGGGAAAGGTAGGGGGAAGTCGTATAAGAGAGATGGGGTGTAGAAGTAAATACACACACTGTTGCATAAGATTAAGACCTCAGGCTTTGCAATCAGATACATATTTTTTTACTGGTTTGGTGAAAGTAAGATCGTGTCAAGTAACATAACCACAGAGAGTATTTATCTCCTCACCTGTAAAATGGGACAATTATAGTATGTATGTCATAGGAGGTCGTGAATGCATAGTACCTCAGTAAGGAAAGCTTCGACAAAGCTGATTAAGGGTTTGTGTGTACCTCTTACTGGAAACTGCACAACTTGTGGAATCAGGCCCATGATGTTGATGAGCCAGCTGGCAGTGTGTGTGGAGAATCGAATTCCCGGAGCTCTTGTGTGCTCTTCTCTACATCCTGAAGACAGAACCGAGTTCCTGGTGCTTGGGAACATGCTCCATATTTTGTTCACTGTTCTACATCCCTTAATGAGACAATAATTTTGATTTCCCTGATACTGTGATGTTATAAGTAATAGTTGGGGGGAAATCAAGCAAACAGTAGGAAGAGTTGCTCTCTTTCTTATTGGTTGACCTTGCTAGCCAAAATTCTGAAGGTATTCTTATGATCCCATGTGTGGTAGGCAGAATAATGGCTCCCAAAGATGTCCAAACCCTAATTCCTGGAACTGTGAAGATGTTACCTTACATGGCCAAAAGGGACTTTGCTGACACTGAGATGGGGAGATTATCCCGGGCTAGCCAAGTGGGCCTAATCTAATCACATGGATCTTTAACACGAATCTTTAAAACCTGGGAACTTTCCTTGTCTGTGGCCAGTGGAGACAGTACAGTAGAATGATCAGAGAGATGCAACGTTGCTGGCTTTGAAAACGGAGGGAGTGGCAAAGAACCAGGGAATGCTAAAACTGGAAAAGGCAAGGCATAGATTCTCCCTCGAGCCTCCAGAAGGGAATGCAGCCTGTCAACACCTTGATTTCAGCCCAGTGAGACCCATGTTAGACTTCTAACATACGGGAACTATAGGGAATATATTTGTGTTGTTTTAAGACACTTAAGTTTGTGGTAATTTGTTATAGTAGCAACGGAAAACAAACACACCCATGGCGTGTTTTTGATTGTGCCAGTTAATACCAGTCATCCCCACCTGCCCCCCCCCCGACATGCACACCATTGCTGAGGCCATAGGTGTAGGATTTCTCAAGCACTAGCACTTGCCAGTATTGCATGAAATGTGAATTAGTGCTTTCTAAAGAAAGAGTCTCTAATCCAGTAAACCTGGAAGTGCTCTAACCTAAAATCATATCATAGGGATTCATAGTGCATGTGAACTTATTAAAGATTCTGGAATGTCCTGCAGTAAAAAAAGAACAAAAAAACAATTTATCCCTGTTTAAAGGAGCATTTCTCAACTTAAAATATGAAACACTGCTTTTTTTCCTTTTCACTGAATACTTAGTAATACATTGCAGAACATGCATTCTATGGAATACAATTTAAGAAGTGATGTTGATATTACTGTCCTATTTTTTATATAAAGACACAACTGTTGGTTAAGTGGTCATTACTGGATGACCTTAGCAGGAGGCGCTGTGGTGAACATGTATGGCCTTTGCCCTTTAATGCTCCCTTAGTACCCCCTGGCTGCACTGCCCTTACGGAGTTTGTTACCCATGTAAACAAACAGTGGGTCACATCCTCTCTGATGTCTTAAATGCCTGAAAGCCAAATGAATAGCATTAG